GCACACCTCACCACCAAGGGTAGCTGCACGATAAATATTTGTGTCCCCAACCCTGAATCGTACCCCACAGTTTCAAAATTAAAGAAACCTAAAAGTTAAAAAAAAAAAGAGGTGACCGGTAGTATTTACCATAGTGCCTAGAACCAGCTAAGGAAACTTGTAAGTTACCCCAAGAAGGTAAGCTTCCATGAGGAACCATGGTCCCTCAAGTTCCTAACCCATTGCCTGGATTAGCTGTCCCAGGGACAGGTAGGTAGTTCACAAAACTTCAAAGAGAGCCCAGCCCTGAGGGCGGCTAGCCCTGGGGTTGAGTGTCTGCAAGACTGAGCTTCTGAAGCCTAAAGCCCCATCACTGCTTGCATACCGACCAGAGCTCAGAGCTCAGAGCCCAGCCGCACTCTCTCCTGGGGCCCAGGGAACCTCTTTCTCAGGAAGCCACAATGACTGCAGGCTCTGACCACGGGCCCAGGTGAGCCCCAACTCCTTCCCCTCCGCAGACTCTTGGGTGGGTCACAACCTGCATGGGAAAGGCAGAAAGAACTGACCTTCACATTCTTTTTTTTCTTGAGTTGGAGTCTCACTCTGTCGCCCAGACCGGAGTGCAGTGGCCGCTCCCGGCCACCGCAGCCTCGACCTGCTGGGCTCCGGCGATCTTTCCGCCTCAACCTTCCAAATAGCTGGAACTACAGGCGCGCGCTACCACGCCCGGCTGATTTTTTAATTTATTGTAGAGATGAGGTCTCGCTGCCCAGGCAGATCTCGAACCCGCGGGCTCAGGCAATCCACTCACCTCAGCCTCCCAAAGGCGCGGGATGACAGGCTGAGCCACCGAGCCCGGCTGACTTTCACATTCTTAACCAGTGTCCCCTAACGCACCCCGAAAACAACTTTTGCATGCTGGGCGCCGTCACCACGCCTGTAACCCCAGCACTTTGGGAGGTGGAGGCGAGAGGATTGCCTGAGTCTGGGGATTTGAGACCAGCCTGGGCAACTTGGTGAGACCTCGTCTCTACAATAAATTTTAAAAGTTAGCCAGGCGTGGCAGCGCATGCCTGTGGCTCCAGCAATTTGGAAGGCTGAGGTGGAAGGATCGCCTGTGCCCGGCAGGCTGAGGCTGCAGTGGCTGTGAGTGTGCCACTGCCCTCCAACCTGGCGACAGAGTGAGACTCCTACTATAAATAAATAAATAACCAAACCTTGCAAACAGGCAAGGACTGTTATTCAGGCTATTACACCTGCCGTGTCCTTTTGGTCCAAGCAACCTATAGACTGAGGACCAAGAAGGGTGATGAGCAACCTGGTCCCTCAACCGGGTTCTATTGCTGTCACCCCACTCGGGTGCCCACAGTCCAGGGGACACAAGGGAAGGGGTGCCCTCACCCCACCGAAGGTACCGTGTCAGTCTCAGGGCAGAGGGAGCTGAGGAATATGTGGGAGGAGCCCTGGAAAGAGGACGACATTTCATGGAGGACGACATTTCACGGAGTTCTGGGGACAGGTCCTGGCTGGAGTCTCTGAGGTCCTGGAGCCGCGAGTGGGCGTGGCCGACTCCCCACAGGGCCATTCCCCACCTGTGTCCGTTTTAAATACATAACCTCTGCCCTTCCTTGCTAGCTAGCTGTGTGTGCATTCAAGTAAGTCTGTGGCAGCGATGTGTGTTGGCAAGGAAACTAGGAGCTGAGGCCGCGTCTGCAGTAACTAGCGCTTTGGGAGGCTGAGGCGGGAAGGTCGCTTGAGCCCAGGAGTTCGAGACCAGCCTGGGCAACACAGCGAGCCCTCATCTCTACAAAAAAAGGAAAGAAAGAAAAAGAAAAGCCATATGTGGTGGTGTGTGCCCGTAGTCCCAGCGATTCTGGAGGCTGAGGTAGGAGGATCCCCTGAGTCCAACAACTGGAGGCTGCAGTGAGTCATGATTGCGCCACCGCCACCGCATAACACCCTGGGCCACAGAGCAAGACCTCGGTCTTTTAAAATAACTAGGAAGGGCCGGGCTCGATGGCTCAGCCTGTCATCCCAGCACTTTGGGGGGCCGAGGTGAGTGGATCGTCTGAGCCCGTGGGGTTCGCGACCTGCCTGGGCAAATTGGCCAGACCTCATCTCTACAATAAATCAAAAAATCAGCCGGGGGTGGTAGCGCCGCCGGTAGTTCCGGCTACTCGGAAGGCTGAGGCGGACGGATCGCTGGAGCCCGGCGGGTCGAGGCTGCGGTGGCCGGGGGCGGCCGCTGCCCTCCAGTCTGGGCGACGGAGTGAGACTCCGACTCAAAAAAAAAAGAAGAAAGTAGAATAGATCTAGACGCAAGCAAAACCCTGTTGCTGGGTCCAGCGTGGCAGGGCTCCCGCTGTCACCTCTCCCTGTCTCTCCTCGGTCCTCGTCCCCCTTCCCTCCCTTCCCCTCGTGTCGCTCTGTCTTTCACTCCATTTTTCTGTCTGCTACCTTCATCCTCAGCCGGTTCTCTCCTCCTGACGGTAGCCTAGCAGCCCCAGGCAGCAAGGATCACCCCTCAAGAAAGCCTGTGTCGTGGCTTATCTGTGTCAGCCCTGGTGAAGTCTGACCCATGCCCCGCCAAGGGAGAGCGACTGGAGCCACGTGACCCGCACAGAGGGGAAGAGGGTCTTCTCTGGCCAGAAGGGGAAAGGAACGCCAGGCCCACCAACGCCGCAGACCCAGCTCACTGAGATTCTGAAAACGTTGCCGAAGAGCTGCAAAAAGGGCTGGGTAGAAGCACGCTTGCGAGGCTCAGAAAATGGCAACCGGGAGGACGGCACGCTGGCATGATGAAGTCTTTGCTCCGAAGGAAACGGGCTCAGAAGCAAGATCTTCCTAGCCTTTTCTCTCCTGCTCCTCCAAAGCAGATAGAAACTAGAATTCCCACAGAATTCTAGTCACAGAAGCTAGAGCCTCTTTGCCCCATAGCCAGCCATAAGGCCTGTGAACCTGATCAGCCCCCTGCCTTTCTGCCTTGAAGCTGGCCATAAATAAGTTCTCTGGCCTACCTTGTCTGATAGCAGGTCATAAGACGGTGTTCCAGACGGGCCCTGCCCTATGCCCAGGAGAAAGGCATGCCACAGAGAGAGGCCAAGAAAAATGGGAATAGTCAGGCCTTGCTAAGTTTCCCATCTCTGTCTGTTACCATTCGGTCAGATCCTTTTTGCCAGACACATTTCTACATGGCTGTCCACTCTGCATCAAACCTAAACATAAAAATAGACATTTTCCCTGACTCTTTGGGGCTTCATTTCTGAAGGTGCTCATGTCTGGCAAAACCTTGATTAAATACATCTGTTATGCTTTCCTCTTGTTAACCTTTTTTTATAGGGGTGTCAGCCGTCACCCTTGTGGTGGGAGAGGAAAGGTATCGCACATGGTGTCTGCTTAAAGTTCTTCCATAAAAAACAAGCTTCAGCTGGGCTCGGTGGCTCAGCCTGTAATCCCAGCACTTTGGGAGGCCGAGGCAAGTGGATTGCCTGAGCCTGCCGGTTCGAGAC